AAAAGGACGAAAAAGTAGAATATTAGAACACAGGCTAACCACTCTAATAAATGAAGGAAATACTAAATGGTGTCTTGTCGACTTTGTCTTTTAATTTATGCGCGCGCGCTATCGATTTTTTGTCATCTCACCTAACCCCCTTGGTAACAATTTTGTTTTTCTACTATACAATATAGTATATTGTATAGTATATTGTATAGTAGAAAAACAAAATTGTTACCAAGGGGGGTAGGTGAGATGACAAAAAATCGATAGCGCGCGCGCATAAATTAAAAGACAAAGACAAGACACCATTTAGTATTTCCTTCATTTATTAGAGTGGTTAGCCTGTGATTAGAACATGCCGAATTTTTGCTAACAGCCCAGGGGAGGGGACCTATCACGTGACTACTAAAGACGAAAAAAGACGCAACCACTGATGATTTATAGCTAACATAGCCTCAAGTTAGACCTCTTATAACAGCTCAAGACATTAAAAATAAGGAAAATTGGCTTATTTTGGATTGCAAATAGCAATATTGAAGCTGGAAACTGAAGTCCCACGTTCTTAGAAAGTGGCTAAAATCATRTCACAGAAAGTCACTGGACAAAGCGGGAAACAATATGGCGGCGTTGGTCTCTGTTCGCGTGTCTCTGTTGGATTGTTTACTGGAAGCAATCAAGACAGGTAATTCTTACTTTGAAGAAAACATGACATCGTAAAATAAACGGCGAAAAATAGTTTTTCAATCATTAGTTTTTCGATACTCTTTTTCTTCAGGTGCAAAATATTGCACTTGTAGTTTATCCTGCATAGCGTCAAACTCGGTCCGTCGAAAAAAAAAACAACAAACAAACATTTTTTGTAGGCATCGAAATACTTACTTCGCATATTGTCAATTTTTCTTTAGAGGTTTTCAGTTCTGTTGAAAAGGTCTTTGTGGCGTTTTCATATGCCTAGGAATAAGATAAACCAATGTTAAAAACCTTAAGCTAAATAATTTTTAACACCGTTTTTCATGAAAAAAAGGAACCCAATCTTTGCGTGAAAAATGGTGCAAATTTTTATGCTAAAAGACTTAAATTAAGATCAGTACTTCAGTTTTTACATCAATACGCCGTAACTGTTTTTTAAAAGTGTATATTTTTTCAATATAAAAACTTAATGACAAAAATTAATGCTATCAATTCATACATTGAGATAAGGTTTCAGTTTTTCTTCCTGCAAACGGCAAGCAAAACTATATTCATCGTTTTCCTATATTTCTCTTTACCTCTTGCAGAACTTCTCACCAAAGACAATCATACCTTTATTCAATATCTACTACTTGGAGATTTTCGTGTTTAAAGTATTTTTCACTGGTCAACTGATAACGGATGTATGTAAACGCGATCCTACTCTCGGTAAGTGACGTGACGTCACCCGTAAACATATATAAGAGAGGAAAGAAATTTTTTTTTAAATCGCTAAAATAGCTCGAAATCATTACAATACAACTAGGATGACGCAAACAACACCTCATGTGAGTTAATATTTGCTTTTATTTCTTTTATTTCTTTATTTTTTTTTGTTAAATTACATTCAGTTCTCAAAACTTGTATGGGCTTCCTGTGCCGTAAAAAGGCGATAAATGAAAAATTTTCCACAGATCGGAAAAACGCTAAAAAAAAAAAAAAAAAAAAACAAAACAAAACAAAAGGAACGAGAATTGAAACAATTTTGATAACAGCAAAGATAAAGGTATATCATTATATACTTTAGAAAATATCGATCAAGAAAATTTAATCTGTATATGACTTAGTTTTTAAATAGGTGTTGGATTAACTATTTACCTTCAAACGGCTAACAAGGCGCCGCTTGCTTAGATTGCCTGGAAATTTAAAACGAAAGTAAAACAAATATATTAGATAATCATTCTGATGAAATGTGCAAAAGACCAGATAGAATAATATAGTCACGTGAGTGTATCATCAGTGATCACATGACAGTCTTAGCTCTAAGTATTGTACTCACAAAAGTCCGAGAAAAATTTCTTTTCTGGTTGATTTGCGTTGTTTCTTTCCATTTCTAGGTGAAAACAAAATTTTTTCAGTAAAACTAGAGAACCGAAAGCCGCACTATAGGTTTATATGTTTTCTTCACCTACTTTGCTTCTTTAGTCGTTTGTAATTAGTTTTTTTAGGGATTCTCTTTAGCTACTAGCAACACGTCTACTCTCGACAAAATCTTCTACCGAAATGATTTTTTTTACTGTGATATCAAGCCATTATGAGGTAACAGCGCGTTCTATTCGATGCGCAAATCCGCTGATCGCACGTTTTGCGAAAACGCAAAAATAGATCGTTTTCCGCCCCTAGGTAGTACTGTTAAAATCGTACACATATCCAGAAACATGCATTTTTCATAGACCATTTTTTTAGAAAACAATTTCTATAGATGGAAAGCTAGAAATTGAATGTTTTCGTTGATATTACATAATATGCGCTATAAAGATGACGTACATACCGATTATGACGTCAGGTCAATGACGTTTTGCGCCCTCTGAATCCTGATTTCTTGTGCATAACCGCTGATCATAAGGACATTTCGTTGGATTTACAAGGATTTGGAATATTATTTTATTACCAACACAAATAGGAGAGAAAAAAAATGATATTCTTATTTTTATTTTATATGTGTAGACTAAGACTTTGATCAGAATTATTGAATTATTTTTTTCCTCTTACTTTCTCAAGGAATTAGAGAAAGTTCTCTTGCAGTGAACTAATAGCTACTCTGTAAAGATCCCATTCATTAATTTGGGGGATAGTCTAGGTGCTAAGCTAGCTAGTAAACTTCTCTTTTTCATAAAAAAGGAACAAAAAAATACGGGCCGAGTCTATCCATTTAAGTTTTATTATAAATTACCATTCATTTCTTCCAAATGGTGCAATCATTTAATTAAGAGGAACTATAATACCCAAGTATAGAATTCAAATATTGCATGATAGCAATTCATTAAGCAACTATAAAAGTAACATAAAAAGTAGGATAGCAGAATGTGTGTGACGGAAAGTATCTAACTATGACAGTAGCATTGCAAGTAAATCAACATTGCAACTATGGAATATGGAATGAAGCGAAAACTCTAGAAAAAATGGTGATGGTATAGGGGTTGCCTAGGTTACAGAAGTATGAAAAGTGGTTTAATGCTCAAACCAACGAAGTGGTTTTTGTATGTGTGAGTAATTTATGGTACTGACTTACAGTACACATAAACTTTATGACATGCTGTAACATTGAATGACTTCTTAGTGTCTTCCAGTAATGGAAAATTTGCATTAGAGTTACACATGACCTGATTGTGCCAGTCTTCCATTCATCCAATCACAAGAACCATATACAGTGTTACAGTATCAATGATACAGTACGTCAACAGTACAGTTACAAATTTGATATATTGTTTCCCATGCACACGAAAATTGCTCTACAATATAATCTATGTTATCCATTGTTGGATTCTAAATTCCCAAGAAATATCTATACCTTGCTATTGAAGAGGATTAGAATTGCCAAGGGGTAGACTTGGGATGAGGGAGGGAGGTGAGGGTTCAGAGGGAGTCACTGAAAATACTTTTTTAAGTTGGAACGTCGTGCAAGTATGGGGTTTAGCATTTCCACCCTTCTCTTTTGGAAGTGTGAGTATTTATGGAACAAAACAAAGTCTTTGAACTAGCATCTATTAATAATGTCTTCTTGATAATATCTGTCTTAATGAGTCAATCCATAGTTTCTCTGTTCCTCCAGATGATATGATTAATGACCTTTTATAATCAATAGATGATGTCCTAATTCATATCCGATTCACAGGTGTAGGAATGTGACTTCAAATTTTCAATTCAATTTAACTCTTCTGTGATGCAATGAACTCTGGATAATCAATGTAGCCATCTTTGTTAGTATCATCCTCTCCAAGAATTTGATCAATCATACTTGACAGCTGGTCATCAGTATAGGTAGTTGTGCTGTTATCTTCCTCGTCATGGTAATGAGTCATTGCATTCATCAGCTCTATTCCGTCCAATTTATTATTGCCGTCGTAATCATGAAGCTTGAAATAGTGGAACTGAAGGTCTTCCTCCTTTAAGTTTTCATCTTTAACATCTATTTCATCTTTTAGATGTTCTTTTATGTGCCTGGAGAGAAACATTATGTCMTGTTGTTAAAGCAAATCCCACTGTTTAATGGAAAATAAATGGAATAATGGAACAGAACTGATACTGATACTGATGTTTTATCACCTGTTTGTTCTTCATTCCTTCTTGAATTTGAATAGGACGTTTAATTTTTTATCACTGAGATTAAATTTCAAATTCATGTTCTTAAAACTCTAACAAATTGTAAACTGAAAAAAATTCATTCGTTTCTTCTTTTTTTACAACACTGTTTTGATTAGATTATATATTATTTTCTAATTTACTAATAATTTTGATACAAGTAAAATTTCCACCACGAGGCAAAAAATATTTTAGATAAATTACCGAAATTTATATTCTGATCTTGACTGTCTATCGTTATAATTAATACTAGTAGCAGTTAGGTAATGCCGATAAATATGATAAATGAAAGGAAATAATAAATAGCATACAGTACTGTAGTTTCAATTTAATTGAATGCGTATTTAGACACGTGCACTTTGATTAGTGGCAGTAAACAGCTCCACAAACGCAGCCACGGATTGCGGTCTGAATACCATGATAATCAGATGTATTATAGATTTACTTACTCTTTATCATGTGTTACTTTTGTATCATGTAAACGGCTTCCCTGATGTTCCTCATGTGCAGTTATTAGGTACGCGCCAAAACTAAAAATCACCAAGCTAATAAAAATGTTTGAACCAGTGAGATTCATCGTTAAAAACCGATCTGTATCGCTATCTAAATCTTTGACGAGATTTACTTATGAGGCTACGGGCACGATCAGAGTAGATATAAATATATTAAGGCTTTAACTATCTTTTTCCCTCGGGCTTTTCCCCCCAAGTTTCAACAGCTGATATTTTGTATAAACTTGACTTATGGTTGAATGTAGTCTAGAACAATAAACTACTAGGTCCCAGACTTCCACAACTCGTTTATTTATGTGTAGACATTTGATTGGTTTAAATTTTAGGCAGATCATATTTTTCGGCTGAACCCTATTATATATATWTTTTTATTACTTTTTACAAACTGGTTGCTAAACAGTGGAACATCAAAAGCATCAACAGTATGAAATTAAAAAAAGGAGTAACCTGGGAAAATGTGTTTTTCCAAAAGTATTGTCGGTAAAGAAGGAACATTACCCGTAGGATTCGAGAAAAAAGCATTTTCTTCGAAATAAAACAGAATAAGATAGTTCTACGTTAAATATTACGCGAAAATAAGGTATTTTGAACTCAACTAAATTCTTTACAAATGATATCGACATTTTGTGAGTAACAGTCATGTGACCGGCCCCATGGTGTAATGGTTAGCACTCTGGACTTTGAATCCAGCGATCCGAGTTCAAGTCTCGGTGGGACCTCATATAATTTTTTTCGAAAATATTTTTACACTGTAATGTTGTTCTTTTTAGCTTGCTTTTAATTATATTTAAGCATTAAAATTATCAATAGAAATAGTTTGAAATTCCGTCTTATGAGCTACCTCGGGTTTTCCTCGGGTTATTAGTTCCATGCCGATCTCATACCTCTCCGCCGTCGTTTCGATCGGGAAGAATTGGAGCGAGAAAACCTCTGGAACAAAGTAATGCGAGTTCTGCAGTCTGCAGGTTGTATCAACCTTGAGCTCCACTTCCCCTCCCCCTCCCCCCTCCTTTCCCAAATGCCCTTTCTGAGTTCCATAAACTGGATCGTATTTGGTCTAGCTTGAGTACAAACAACACCATATCATATAAGGCAAGATTGGCAAAAAATGTTTGTACCCAGGCTAGATCACAGTGCACCATGTTCCCTATCTCAGAAGAGGTATAAGTCAACATCAGGTTATGTTTTTTGCTATGTGTAAGTCTTTATTGTTCTATCCAAATCAGTTTACATGTAAAGGCAGCACAAGAGTAGACCATTCCCTTAGTACTGCGTAGTCATCAAAAACCAAATATCCTTGAAAACGTTATCTGGCATTTTTATAAAAAATTAAAAAAAACAACAACAAAACATTGTCATGAAAAATAGGAAAAATAGAAAAATAATGCTCATATTCCTATTAGTACTAGTTTAATGACACTTAGAAAGCCACTAACGGTGGAGAGGGGGCCTAAGTTATCAGCTCTCAGACTCTACATTTTAATCCTATGTAAACTATGTAATCTGGAATATATATCCAATCTAAGCATCCCCCTTAACACACACACACACACTTCATACAGTACTCGGTTCGAAGTCCTTGAACTTCATCAGCATGTTTCACATTACAAAGATAATCCCACTATGAATGCTACGAACAGGACTTTGATGGGCGATACTGCTATCGAGGATGGTTGCCCAGATGTGGGTATTTGAAGAAGACTTGGGTATCGTTTTAAGATATGCAGCGCAACGCCATTGGTCCAACCAAAACCAACTTGAATATCATACTCTCCCCCTCCCCCTGGTACACCTTGGACACGGGCGTCGTACTTCTCAAACATGTGTTTAGYTTTCTTCCACGCTTTATAGTTGGTAAGTGTCCAGTTCTGCGCCAGTTGAAAGGCTGTGTGTTGTATGTTCTTATCCGCTGAATTTGCCATTCCCTCCAGGATCATATACTGTAACGGAGCCCATGAGTTTGGGTAGTCCCATTGTTGACTGGAGTTTGACAAAGAAGTCGGTACGCCGCCGGGAAAGTCAAGGACTCTAAGCATTTTTAATTTGTTGACAACTAGTTTATCTCGGGTCACGTTCCCTCGGTGGAGTCCCGCCCAGAGTGGAACCATACTAGAAGCATAAAACTCTGGGTTTGAAGACTTGGATTCTAGGTCGTAATCCAACCATGCAGATTCATTCTCGTTCCAGAACACCCGCTCCATCGCCTCTTGCCTTCTTTCTGCAAGTTGTTTGAAATAATTGGCTTTTAAAGTTTTCCCTGCTCGCCTGTACATCCTCTCCAACGTTTTCTCGTTGCGATACAAGACAGCATTAAGATCAACAGGAATAATCTTTCTTGTGCGAATGGTCTTTATGCTTTTTGAAGATCTCTTGAACCAACGACTTGAGAAATCCCATCCACTTTCAGCTGCTGACGCCAGGTCTTGGTATACGTCAGCTTTTTCTTTTTCTGATTTTCCTTCCGCTGTGTGCACGTCCTCGTAAAACGACTCAGGCCTTGGTGTGTTCATATCTGCAGCGTATTGGTTTAAACGATACTTCTTACCTGCTATTTCAACATCTATAGTACGATTACGATACCAAAAGTTGTACTCCGCCTCAAGAGTAGAAAGAATCCCCTTTACAAAGTCAAAATCATTGGTAGCATTAAGGTATAGTTCGACGATTGGGATGAAAAATGGAGGCTGGCTACGGTTGAGGTAGTAAATCCTTCCACCGTTAGGGAYGAACATATAGGTTTTTACCAGCTGCACAAAGTTGTCGATCATAAAACGAACAGTTTGCTCCATCTCGCAGACCAGTAGACCCTCTACCGTCCAGAATGTGTCCCAGTAATAATACTCTCGGAAACGCCCTCCAGGGACTATGAAAGGTTTGTCAACTATGATCAGTGAGGAACGATTTGGATGGCTTCGCGCTTCTGTGCTGATGTTCCTGCCTAGCTTTTTCCACAGAATGTTAAGAGCCGTTCCAAATTCTTGTAGCTTTTTATCCTTGATCTGACAGTAAAATATAGATAGTGTTAGTGTAAAAGGACAATGAAAAATTAAAGAACTTGGGTTTGAGGCTAACATGAAACTGATACTGAAAAGAAATCACAATGTTTCTTAATAGAATTTGTTCCTTTTGTATTTCCATGTTAGCCTCGCATTCAAGACAAATTAAGGAGCGAGGGTCCATTCGTTGTTTGAGAACAGAATATTTAGTTCATTATACCTCGATTAGTTTTGTTTTATAGTTCATTAGTAAGTGCTTTAACTGATCGAAATTCGGTATCGAAATGTTAACCTTTTAGTTGGCAAACGGTACCGATCGCTATTTAAGTACACCGTCTTTCTGTGCTTAAAAAAGTTGGACATTGTAAGTTTAAGATTAGTGGAATTTGATTTCGACGATTTTTGAGTACTTTTGCCAACATTGAGTAAACGCTTCTTTTAACTCAGCAGTTCTGTATAAAATTTACTGCCAATTTGTTTAATAATGATTTAAAGTTATAGATCATATATCATTTTAACATTTTTCATATTATTGTTGTTTATATTCTTATTTTTTTTGTTTTTATGCTATATGTACATATTTATCTATATTTATTTATTTAGATTGTAGATAGATCAAATGCAAATAGTGTGAAACTCGAAGTAACAGCTAAAGTGATGTCTTGTATTTGATCTATCTACAAATCTATTACGCTCTGCAACTTAATGCATCGAGCACTCTACCGACAGTAAAGACTGAATCATCCAGATTTATTTATTTATTTATATTCATTTCAAAGGTTATTTTATAGTCTGATGTGTTGCATATTGGCTTTTACCGACTTAATAAAGAGGATGATGATGATGATGGTTATCAATGATGATGATGGTGATGGTGGTGGTGATATTGATAATGAAAGCATCGGCCGTTATCAGGGTGTACCTAAAAAAGCAACTATTCTTCTAACTTCTTCCCCTTGTCCTCTCCTCCTCTTCCCTAATCCCCATTCCTCGCAACAACAAAAACAACAACAACAAAAAAAAACCGCTACGCAGGATAACTTTTTTTGGGCACGTGCCACCCCGTGCCCCCCCCCCCCTCCCTACGCTATTGACCTCATTCCCTAAAGCCACGTGTCTTGAATTTCAGTTTTCTATTGCGTAAAAGCGGTTGAATTCTCTTGGAAAAACGAAGCAAATTTCCAAGAAAACAAGTTCAATTAAGGTTGATAATCGATTAATTAGTAGTAAGGTTGTAACTGACCTATGAGCTAATCATGTAAAATATTTAAGTGACATTAATATGGTTGATATTTAATCCGAGTTACGAAAAGTTAACATTACCTTCTTAAGAAATGAAGGTTTTTCCTTCCAATCTTCTGGAATCCAAGTATCCAGGTCTTTACCAGGAGACTCAAAATATGTGCTGACGAATTTTTGAAGTGCATCGCGGCTTGGTTTCTCTCCAAGTGCTTTAAAAACTTTCATTATTTGCGCTTCATTTTGTTTCATCCTCATGTCAACGAAGGACTTCGAGTCATTAAAGAGTCGTGGTCGTGCCATTTGGATGTCAAAAAGTAACTTGCCATGACAAAATATCTCACTTGTACATGGAAAAGAAGTTTGATTGAGCAAAACGGCCGAAGGAGCAAGAGAAAAGAGTAGGATTAATTGGACTAGAATCGCTCGGTTGGTTGTCATTTTGGGCAGTGGAGTTGCTTCCATACCTGTGGAGTACAGTGACAACCTTTTCAGTTTGCTTTATGGTACTTAGGGATGGACCATTAGATAATTGATGAGGGGGGGGATGGGGAGTCCAGGATCTTTGGTTGCATGATATTTATTTTTTAGCTCAACCTTTGCACGTTATTTTTTTGCGTACAGTTAGATATTTTTCTTCTAGCATTATTCCTTGCACGTTATTTTTTTGCGTACAGTTAGATATTTTTCTTCTAGCAAAAGAGGTTGCACGATATTTGTTTTGAGGTTTAGGCACAGGGAACACTATTGCATTACAAGTTCTATGTAGTGACCGTTTGTATATGGGTTTATTGAGTTACGATTATTATGTAATGTCATCAACATATGAAACAAGTTTGTTTTACCGATTTAGAATCACCAAGCCGGGCTCCCTGTGACGAATACTGAAATATAATCGCTGCTGCTCGAAATATTTTATTCTAGAGTGCTTTTAGTCTCACTGTTGAATAGTTTTAGCTAAAATTGTAAATAACTTATCTAATCTAGGTGACGTCACCTATTCAACAGTGGGTGCATTTCCACTAGGACATTTTAAACTAGTTTAACGAAAAAATACCGGAAACACCAGTGGAAACGACTCGAAACTAACTTAAGTTAGTCAACTGTTTACACGCAAAAAAAAGCCGAGTTTAGTTGCTTCAACTCCGGAAATGACACCTTTGATAAGCGACCTAAAAAGATGGCTTAAGTTGGACTACCGCCGGCCGTGACCAATCAGAGCTCACCATTTGACAATTTGCTGTCAAAATACTTATCTAGACTAACTTGAAAAGCAGCAGAGGGAAGAACGTGGGCTCTGTCTCTTGGTCTATCCTAACTATTTCTGTGCCTGTGGGTACGTTTCTCTTGTTTTTTTWAAATTAATATGGACAACGGTAGACCCATGCTCTTGGTCGTCTGCGATTGCGAACTCCTCTATTTTGGAGTTGATTAGTCAGAAGAATTGATAATTGCCGTCTTCTTCTTCTTTGCAAAGCAGTTAACCTCAGATTGCGAAGAAATCGATTTCGCTTTCTCAAGAATAAAGCAAATGTTCAAAGCAGTGTTGTAAACACAAGCACTTCTTCTCCCGGCACTTTTTGAATCTCGCGCTATGTATAGTAATGTGATCTATCTAGTTTAAAATCACCTCAAATTACATAATGGAAACAAGCTGCACATTTATTCTAGTTTAAGCTGGTATGTAAACAAACACCTAGAGGAATTTTAAACTACCAAAAATGTCATAGTGGAAACGCACCTCTACTTCCGGCAAAAGAAGCTCGACTTCCGGTATTTAGATTCTGCGCACTGATGTAACCATTTTAGACGTGGCAAGATGGCGGACGGAGAAGATATAGCTGGAAATCCTTCCTCTCACGATTTAACAATAACAGAAGACCATAACTCCTCGGGCAAAGATGTATTAAATACAAGGAATGAGGAAGAAAATGGAGAACCTTACAAAAATGGTTTCGGGCTCACAGAATATTATAGATTTTGTCTTCAATATTATCATAAAGGTAAGCAAGTCTGATTATTGAAGTTGGTCATGAAGCCAGTTATGACATGTTATTCGTGTCTTAACTGTAAAATATTGTCTTGACACAACTTTAGGTTTAGAAGTAATTTATCGTCCTGCTTAAATCTTCTGAATGCAAGATTTCTCAAGATTTCTGTGAAAGACTGTTTATCTAATTTTAATTTGAAAACTGTCGTTGGCAATTTTACTCGTATCGTATTCTTGAAATGATTAACCCCCATTTTATAGATAAATCTGGTAATGGTCATTTTTAAAACAACTTTTGTTAGCTGATTAAAAAWATATAAATTTAAACGACCTTTGACAAGGATTCCAGACAACATTATTACTAGTATTATTGATGTTAATATCACTGCATTATTTTACTCACACTGTTGAATAATTAGATAAATTTATCTAACTTAGATAACTATTTAGTTGACATCACCTAAAATAGTAAATACTTGCCAAACCAATGCTCAAGTCAATCAGGGCCCGGTTGTATGAAGCCTGGATAGCGCTATCCAATGTATAATTATTATCCAGTGGATAAATTTTTTATAGACATCTTTTTATGAACCTGAAATTCAATGAACGTATGGTGCTTAGACTGTTAGTTTGTCTTTGTCAAAAAATAAAGCATAAATTATTGATGAACTGTTGTCAAATTTCCTTTTGTTAAATATTTCTTTGAATTCTAGAAAAGCAAATTATAAAGCTATCCTATGACGAGAAGCTTCAGCTGACAGCATATTGGAAGCAAGTGACTAGTGGACGATATGACCCTGAAAAATTTCCAGATGTAGGCTACTTTGACGTTATTGGAAATGATAGAAGGTATGTTAATATTATGAGGCAAAGCTATAGAAATGTGTAGCTCTTGTTGATTGCATGCCTGCACATGTACACTTATTGGAACCAGACTTAACGCGACTGCTGGACATGCTTCTCCAGACAGAAGCACCCCGAATATACAAGTGGTCCATACGGGGGAAATTGATGATGATGATGAAGATGGTGATGATGATGGTGGTGATGATGATGATGATGGTGATGATGATGGTGATGCTGATGTTGATGATAATGATGATGATGATGTATATTACTTTAGACTAATATCCAACATCACTATTAAAATCGAATGATAATGAAGTAAATTTAAATTATTAAATGAAATTATTGATAATAAATTAAAATTATTTTGCTTCCTTTTTTCCACCCATTTCTTTCTTTCTTTTTTTTTTTTTTTTTATTTCCCTTTTTTCCTTCTACACCTTGCCTCTCTTTCTTCCCTCTATTCTTTCTTTTTTTCTTTCTTTCTTCTCTCATTACTTTTGTTTCTAATCTTTTTAATGTCATTGTCGTTTTTTTTCGAAACAAGGAGAGTGTGGGAATCCTTAGGTGACATGAGCAAGACAGAAGCAATGGAAAACTTTTGTATACTCATAGAACAATGTTCCCCGGAGCTCAAGCCTTGGATGGAAGCACAGCAGAAAGAGGCAGAAGAGATAAAAAGAAAAGTACAAGAAGAAGAAGAAAGAAAGAGGAAAGAAATGGAAGAAGCAGCAGAAAGAGAACGACAAATGTTAGCTGAGGAAGAAGCAAGGAGAAAAGCTGAAGAAGAAGAAGAAAGGTACACCATGATCACAGGACAAATAAGCTTATTCATACTTCATTTTTGGCTCAACCTTTGTGGGCAAAGATTTGAGCAGACAAATCCAAGTTCTGTCCTATGTTCGTCCCTTATATTAAGCCCTGGTTTTAGAAAACTTATTGTCCTACTAAACCTTCTGAAACATTACAACTCTTATAGGTTTTGCATGAAAAATTCATTTTCAGGAAAAAACTAGAAGAAATCAAAAGACAGGAGGAACTCTTAATACAGCAGCAAGAACAACAGCAACAACAACAGCAGCAGCAGCAAGAGCAACAGCAAGTTGATGGGATACAACAAAAGACTCCATTAAAACAAGAAACTCTACAGGTAAGGCAGTGATAATAATCATTATGAAATAACTGTTATAAATCTTGCATTCTGATTGGTTGGGAGCATGTGCTTTATGAGAGCACAAAGCACACATGCACCGTTTGTATTTTATAAAAGAAAAAAAACTTGCTTGCTGTGCTGTTTGGAGTTATGAAGCATGCAGGGATTAGCAGAACACTCTGAAGAAGTGTTCATAAGCACTYCGCTACACGTTGTGCTTTTCCTAACACTTCTCTCGTGTTCTGCCAATCCCCGTGTGCTTTATAACTGCACACAGCATGCTCGCACGTTTTCTATTTTTTCAATAATATCAATACTAATTGGGAATCAAAAGTGGCATAGCTGTAGTACTCTTACCTATGGGGTCTTTGATTTGATTCCTAGACTCAGCATCACACGTGAGTAGAGCTTGTTAGGTCCATCCCTTAACTTGAGGGTCTTTCTTACTTCACAAAAGGGAATTGAAATGTGTAACAGCCATACATGTACATTTCTTTTGTTTGATGCAATTGAAAGATTTAGTAAATCTCCTGTGAAAGTCAGGAAATTCAACAAAGTTTGTCATGTGAGAGAAGCAGCCATCTTGAAGCCAAATCCATAATTCCAAATATGGTATCAAAATTACTAATTTGCATCTGTATATTCCAGAGCATGTTTCATTGTATTTGTTTAATATTTTTGTATTCTGAATGTTTAGGAGAAAGCTTCACCATTGGTCAATGGAGCACCTCGTATCCTTCCAGCATCACTTTGGACAAGGCCAAAAGTCATGGAGTTTATTCAACATGTCAAGTCAGATCCTAGTTCAGTGCTTGTAGTTGGTAGAGGAGAGACCATGACAGTTAGGGTACCAACCCACGATAGTGGTGAGTATAATTTTTTCTTTTTCTTTTGTGTTATAAGGCCAAACAAAAAAATAAGTGAGTTTTCTGTCGTGTGACCGACCCTAATTTTCTTGCCGATTTTTGCCAACCCTTTTTTTTCATCCCCAAAAGCACTACAGGGTTCCCAGTAAGCTCATTTCCACTGTTGTTTCAGTAAAAAAAAAATTAGACCTACCAACCCCAGTTATTTTTCTCATGCAACAGGAAACACACTTATTTTTTCATTTGGCCTAACATATACAAAGATTTTGAAAGTATGGCTTTTGCTTTTAGAGTACTCAATAGCTGATTTGTATTCCCTTATTGGAGCTGGCACACTAGATTAATCATTAGCTAGTTTTTAACATTTTATTTTGGTTTGTTTTCTAGGTACTTGTCTGTTCTGGGAATTTGCCACAGAATACTATGACCTCGGCTTTGGGGTCAGCTTTGAATGGTCTCACCCAAACTCCAAAAACATCACAGTAGCAGTCAATGAATCAGATGATGATGAATTTGCAGAAGAGGAAGACAAGCCAGCCGAAAACGAAGCCCATAAACCACGGGTTGATGAGATTTTACCTGTCGTAAGAAGACCATGCCATGAAGAAGTCATTGTAGGAAGCCATATGTACCCAGGACGAGGGGTATATTTGTTGAAATTTGATAATTCGTACTCACTTTTTAGATCAAAAACATTATATTACAGAGTTTATTATACACGGTAATGACAGACATTAAGGGATTTTTGGTTTACAATTTGAACTACAGTAGTTACAATTAAAACCAACAGCTAACATTGTTAAATGAAATGTTAGCCAAGGCTGTGTCTACACTTATCTGTGAAAGCCTGAATTATCACTAAATGGAATTAATCATTTGACTGACAGTATAGCAATAATAGACAAAAATAATTAATTTTTTCCCCTTTCCGGTATTCTAAAATTCGTGCATTCTGATTGGCTGTGCGAGCAGACCTTATTTTCTATCTCTGACCGCAGTTCGATATCAGGTTGTGAAGATTATGTCACCACATGGGATACCAGATTGTTAAGCAACAAAACAAATTGCAAAATCGTGGAAAAGTAATTGGGAAAAAAATAAATGAGTTATTTACCATCCAGCTACTCCCTCTGCCTTGAAAACGGGCCGAGGCCTAAGGGCTTCGGTCTACATATTCAAGACCTTCGGCACAGTTTTTCCCTTAATCCGAACCACCTGGCTGGTATAACCTCTACATACCTTCTTACCCTTGAATACCATCTTTTAGAGTAGTTCCTATACAAAATTATTCAAGCCTGATTCATTATTGGTAGAAGCAAGCATTGCTATGATTGTTTTACAGTCTCCTTAGTAAGAGGTCTTTAGTTTGGTCTCAATGGACTCTGGCATTTTAGTGCTTCTCTTTAGCCCTTGTAGTGTCTTAACTGTATACAAATGACACAGTTGTCCATTTGCCACATTTTATCCGATATTAACCTGTAACTATAAGTAGGAGGGTTGTAAACTTCTAACAAAGTCACCAATTGAAAGAAAATGGAACTTTCAATGATATATAAAAAAGAGATGATAAATGAAAAAAGAAATAGAGAATGAAAGAATGAAAGAAAATTAAGGGTTGTAATGGCAAAAAGAATGCATGGGAACTGGAAAATGATTCTAACCAGTTATCATCATAAACAATTGAGAACTATGTATCCGAAGGAGATTTTTTTGGTTTGATGCTTTTACATGAAAAGATCTGGTAATTTTGGATTTCATCAATTTTCAGCTGTTATATATAATTAGCTCATTTATATTTTATGAGTTGGCAACAGGACTTAAGATAATGGCCAAACATTGGCCAATATCCGTCCAGAATTGGAACTTGTCTGATGAATTTTTTTCCTTGCTGGACATTTTGACGAGAATGTTATGCCAGGAACAAGGCATAACAGAGTTAAAACTAATTTGACCAGGCATCATGATCAGCAAGTTAATGACCGTTATTTTAAGCCCTGGGCAGACTAGAGTAGGTAGCTTTTACTGTGGATTATGTTATTATTAAACAGAAAAATGTAATAAAGAAATTTTAAAGACAAGACCAAATATTTCTATGATCTGCATTGTGTGGTTCCAGAAGATATCCATACTCCAACATGGAGGAAATCACAAATTCTCAGGGGTCGGGGAGTCGGAGGAAAAACAAAATAAGCCTGAAGCAAGATGACATTTTCCCCCTGTCTCTAGACCATAATCCTTTTCACACTGCTTTTGTTCTTTAATTATGACTATTGTTCCTGTATTCTCTAAGGAATCAAAAAATTTAATATGAAAGAATTTTAAAAGATATTATTGTATAGAGTCGGGGGTAAAACATCATCTCGCTTCAGGCTTGTTACAATAAGTGTGTTTGGAAGAAAATCGGAAATTCCAGAAGGGTGAGGGGACCTTTTTATTTACTCCCTATTTACATCGAATAGCATTTCTTTCAAGAGTAATTTCAATTCCCTTGAGAAACGTTTCTATGGTGATCTGGCTTTGATTCAGGTTTAGGATTGGGTCCCCTGTGGTAAATGTCTGTCTGTCCACTATTGATACCCAAGTGCATGCTGGTCAACCTTGACGTCATTTCCAAACAAAAACACGACGGTCATAAAACATGGTGACTGACAGGGGAATTTCTCATCTCCTGCTAAAAATACGCTTCTTTATCTCTCCTAATAACTAGTTAATGTAGTCGTAAAGGCCAGAACAAACTTCCAACATGCCTTGGTACTTCCCTTGGTCTGATTCTATCAAGAAAAGAGCTTGTAGGTATCTTTTACAGCACTATTTAGGGCACTTCCTGCAAGAGAAGTTRACTCTCGAGCAGTTGACTGTAGATCTTTACAATGGAACTGGACGAGTTGAGAACGTTCCTCTCGATGTCTGGGTACGTGTTTTATAAAATAAACTCGTGATTACCTGCTAGACCTAATTGTATTAAGATATCTTGCCTATCTCACCCACAACAGTCATTTGCCTGAGTCAAACTTTGATGTTTTGTTGGAGAAAATATTATCCATAAAGAACTTTGTCCTTTTTCATTGTTATTGTTTATAAACCAAGAATTTGGCTTGGTGAATGAATACTTGTTATTTATTCATAAACAGATAATCCATACATGTATTTTCCAATTACCAGACAGTTTTGTCCTAATTTTAATGCTTTTCTGCAAGGTTTCATTTTATTGAATTCAAATATTTGAAGTGTGTGGCTTAAAATATCGATTGTTCATAGGGATTTCAATTCTTTTTTTTCATTTTTAAACAACAATTTATTCTACCTGTATCTTAAGCTACCAAAACTTTTATCTTTTGTAACAATATAATGAAAAAAATATGCATTTATTTTTGTACAGCTTCTAATACTCTACTCATACATTTGCTGTATTTTAGGTTTTTGATGCTTTTTAATTTCTATGCATTTTTTTGAATACAAATACTTGGAATTTGTTCATTCTAGACGAATGGAAAGGACAATGGGAAGTCTTTATGTATATATAGAAACTTCTCTTGGGGGTAGGGGTATGAGGTGTTTATTCTGGTTCTGGGGGTGGGGGTAGGGGTAGGGATATTATTTTGTTCTAGGGGTCTGTGGTGTTGGCTACTGGGGATCTCAAACCTGCAACCTGTTCCAGACAAATGTTTGAACATTGCCTGATACTATTTTTAAAAAATTCACAAAGCTTTTGAACTTTCTGTTATTCACTTACTTTCCATGGAAATTATATACTTAAAATAAAACAAAGATAAATTTATGGTTTGAACCCAGGTGTTGAAGTTGGTTGTGAAATGTGATCATCCRGGTGAGTGTAGTCTTGAGAAAGACTGTTGTTGGTTTTCTCACTGAACTCTGAAGATGACTTCCACTCAGGTTGTCAAAATGTCAGTCACCACCAACAACAGTCTTTCTCAAGACTACACTCACCCATCACATTTCACAACAAAGATACATATCTTGTATATATTTATTTAAAAAATATCTTGTTAACAAAGTTTGGGTGATTTTCTGAAAAAATCTTCAAAGTTTGAAAAATCATGCTATTAAGGCCCCAAAATACCTGAGCTGCAACTGCTGGAGTGCACCCCACATATGAACATATTATTTGATGTATATTACTTTGTTTGTAGTCTGTGAATGAGATGCTAGACAGCTGTGGTGTACCATTTGAGATCATCGATGGCTATATCAAGAATATATCTGTCTCGGTGCCCTGGTCTGCTCTACTTAATGATAGTTGTTGCATGGATATACAGGGTCTAGAGCTTACTATTGCCATGCGACAAAGATCTGAACCAGGTGAAATAGGTATCTATACCCCCTTGCAATAACTCCCAATCTAAGGACCAGAATAAGAAAATAATTTTTTCATTTGATCACATAAGGATTGAGATCTTGAATTTTTGATGTTAATATTTTTGAATTTATTGTATTGACCCCAGGAAGGGATTTAGTGCAAGGAGTCTATTGGATGCATGGTTGTACTGACAGTATAAAGGACTCCGTGGGGTGGAAGGGGTTAAAAATACTAATATTTAGATTATAAAATTCAATTTTCATTGAGCCCTGAAACAACCTCTGGACTGATAAAGTGAGGGCACGGCTGTCTCATGGATTGAACCCTGAAACGACCTCTTGGTTGATCAAAGTCAGGACAGATTGGACCTTAAAGAACCTCTGGGCTAAACAAAGTCAGGCATGGCTAACTAACACATTGAGTGGGAATTTAGCTGGTCAAGTTTTGTGGAGAATCAAAATCAATTAATGTCTGAACAAACTCTGGTCAGATGTGGTGCTGAGTCCGGGAATCAAACCCAATATGCCAGAGTAGGGACGCTAGAGCAATGAACATGGTGAACAGTTACGTCAGGCTTTAATTCTTGTAGGACTGATTGCTTAATTTTTGGTTTATTCTAGGGAATTTAACAGAATCCATGATCTTTAATTCCATGACAACCAGCATGGAACTAGCACAGGAATGTCTAAAACAAGGCCCATCACCTGGAGAAGAACAAGCTGAGGCTACGACACAGTCATTTGAAGGGCTGGAATCCTTTGCTCAAACCATTGAATCAGGTACATAATATGCTACGTATCCTTGACGGTACATTTTGTGAGCTAAAAATAATGGGTAGTTAGTCTCCAGTCAGTCTCCAGTCATTCGGCTAAATTAATTTTAGCTTAGTTACTGTATATCTCATTTCAACGTAACTGGTACTCAGTGTAACTGGTCAATATGACCTGCAATGCAAAGATTTGACTGGACAAGTTCCAATTCTTACTGGACATTGTCTGATGACCAGCTTATCTTTTTTAGCCCTGAATTTGAAGTGTTCATTGCATTTTTTGTTGATCAGCTAATACATAAAGTTAGCTCATGTCACTAAGTATTAACAAAGATAATATTTGCTTAATAGTTATTATTATTATTTTTTTGGTTTCTTTTACAGTGTTATCAAGGATCAAGCTGTCCTTCTCTGATACTGTTGTCAGACTGGAGCATCTACCAAAAGCAATGAAGTTAGGTGTTGGTTTAGAGATACATATTAAAAGGTATTTAAATGGGCCAATTAGTTTTCAACTCTGCCATGATAACATTGATTCATAAATGTAATCTAGTGCTCTTACTGAATCAGAAATACCAGATAGGTGGCACATACAAACAAACATATTAATTACAGTGTCTCCYGGTCACACGAGCAAAATCGTACAATTTGCTGTCATGACAAACTTGGTTTTGGTGGAGTCTAATCAAGAAATTTTTGCAACATTCCATAAGCAGCAAATGGACAAACTTTGATTTTTGTCCACCAAAAAGTTATTTTGTTRGGACAGAAAATTGTATGATTTTGTACATGTGATTGAGAAGTGCAGTAATGCCACTTAAGGGAAAGAAATTTATAACCTTAGCTAAACCCCTCATAGCCTGATTTATGTAGCCATTATTTTCAGCTCTAAAATACAAAAACTATCCAGACTACAATATCTTACAGCAAATTTTGTTTTGTTTTACAAGGATTGAGTATTCAGATCTTTCAACTGAACTAGCAGATAATGATGACCAGTATAAAGCCAAGAGTGTCTATGAACCAGCAGCATTTGCTTTCAAAAACCTCAAGATCTTTGGTGCTTCGGCTTACCTGGATGAGTTCCATGAGGCAGCCAGGACACTACCTGCAGGATTCRATACAGAATCACCAGAGTCCCCTCCTCCTTCTCCTACTAGTGGTTTGAGCTCTTCATCTTTAAGCCCTTGCTTGAATGGAATAGTTGATGACTTTGCTAAATCTAACAAAAGTAGCTTTCTGCCTTCTATACAGATTGGTAACTTTTCTGGACATCTGGAGATGAAAATTAAATTGAAGCAAAATGTATCAGTTCCAGGATCGAAGGTAAGTTAAAGATGAGCAGGGAAATATTCATGGGGGGAGGGGAGGGGAGGTGTAGTTAGAATCATCTGACACTATAATTAATTTACATACAGCTGTATCTGCCCTGTTTGATCAATTTCCAGTTAATATAATGCATGTGAACTTAATTTTCACTGTTATTTTAGTCCTCTTCATGCAGTGTGAGAAATTTGGATTAAATGATAAATACCAGTCCAATGATGCTGCCCCTCTTTGGCTAAGTAAAAACTTCATGCACTTCACCTCGCCCCCCCCCCNNCCCCTCCACCACCACCCCGAGAGTCCTCTTCCTTCTCCCACAATGAATACCTTGTGAATCAAATGTCAATCAAGAAGCATAACTGCCAAACATTTGATATTAAATAAATTTAACTCAAACATCATAATATCTTTCAATTTTTACCTGTAGATTGACATTGAATGCTTCTTTGGTACCCTGAATGTATTCCTGGCTCCAAGACAAGTGCACTTGTTATTAGAATTAGCTAGTGAGCTAACTCTTGCTGGTAGGTATAGAATATTACTGGTAATAATACATAAATTTATAATGAAATTCRTATGATTAATGTGCAAATTACATGTGCATTGAGTTTGTTTGATGTGTTGTTCTCTCCTATGCTACGAGGGTTTTCTCCGGGTTCTCTGGTTTCCTCCCTCCATAAAAATCAACATGTGAGTTGAGCGTTGTGTGCATAGAATATTAAATGCAGTGGTAGAGTGTGTGAGTGAAAAGTGTCCCCAATTAGTGTGAAAGAGCTAGAACGACTAGACACTTAAATAAAGTGAATTATTTTTTCATTTTATTACAATGTATTTATTTTTGGGGAAAATGACCACACTCAAATACAGTGCTTCATCCCAATCATACTCACCAAATTGTACAATTTGCCATTGTGACACGTTTTGGAAAAAAGCACGTGCCCTTGAAAACTTTGTGTTTTCCAACAAAGTTATGGAAAAACTTTGATTGCCATCCAGTAAAGCCATATTTTGTTGCAACGAGCAATCATACCATTTCATACACTGTATACACTTTATGCATGATTGGGAAGCACATTGACATTATTCCTGACGGATAATATTTTTACTGTGATCTCAGGAGATGCAAATGAGTCTCTTGGGTTAAAAGGAACAGGAACAGCCAACAAACCAATGCAACCTGATGACTACAGAAGAATAGAAGAGGATTTACATAACCAACTTCAAGCCAAGAAACAGCAGATGGTGGAAACAGGCCATAGTAGGGTGGAGGCATGGAATTTTAGCTTTGATTCATCAAATACTGCAGAGGAATCTTCACATTTCTCATCAGGAACTGAATACGACAGGTACTTGTATTATAGGTGTTTCAACTTTGCTTATTGTTGTCTGTCTGTCTTTTTTCTTACTTCTTAGATAATTTCCAGCATGGTTTTATATGCCAAATTTTAATTGATGGACTCAACCATCCAGCCAACCTATCATCCAATTCCCATCCCATCCAATTCCATCCTATTCAATCCCATTCTTTTCCATCCTATACTTCCTTCCATCAATATCATTATTCTTAAATTAAACTTCTGATAATTTTTTAGTTGATAACTCCCCATCCTTCCATCCATCCATCCATCCATCCATCCATCCATCCATCCATATTCCGTCATCCATTTGATCCATCCACACTCACTCACATCTTTTCCTTCCTTCCCTCCTTGTTTACCTCCTTGTTTACCTCCTTCCCTCCTTGTTTACTTCCTTCATTATTTTCTATTCATCACTTCTCCCTTCCAACCATCCATATTTCACTTTGTTTCATTTTTATTTCATTATCCATTCATCCCATTCACTCTCTCACCATTAGACCCATTCTTTCTCAATCATAACTTTTGAATTTTTTTTCAGTGTTCTTGGAGATAACAGCGACGAGAAGTTCTACTCCATGCCCTCAAGTCAGTGGAGCTCTGGTGGCCATGACATCCTACCACCGCTGGAGGAACCCATGTTACCACCTGATATGATGGGATCAAAGAAGCCCCCTGCCTCTCTGCTCACTCAAGGCTTTGGTACCATCCATCAGTTTAATGCTACAGGTACCTTCATTATTGTCAATAGTTCTAGAATGTCTAGCTAGTAAATATTAGTTAGAATACACCTTGTTCAGCACCATGAGTTTCAGTAGGTCAGTATAAATACTGTAAATCTTCATTTTTTTATTGACACTGGTCTAATTCTAAAATGCTTCCATAACATTTATAGGTCCAAGTCTAACAGAGGCTGCTAGCAGTGTCTTTGCTAACACACAGTCTGCAGGAGTTCAGGGCCTCTCTTCACTATCAGGTACATTACATTCATGCTACATTGCATCTTAACTGTAGGAATACCACTTGCCATGTTGCAACTTGTGTTAAAATAGAATCTCGTGTCAAAATACAATCTAATTTTTTTTGTTTCACTTTCCATCCCAATACAAGGCATGCCTGTCCCACATGCTTCCAAACCACTCTCACCTTTAAACCAAGGTCTGGCTGGTATAGCAGCCTTAGATGACCCCTCTCCAGAGACTATGCACCTGAAGCTCAAGTTCACCAGTGTAGCTGTCACCATACTCCATGTAGATCCTGTACTCTCCCCTGTATCAGACACAGAGGACCAATCAAGTGATAGGTGTGACAGTCAGTCCAATCACCCTCTGCAGCAGATGGCAGAGAATTTTTTCAATGGCCTGGGCACCTATGGTTTTGGAGGGAAAGACTTCGAGGATATGAAAGAGAGGCTTGCAGAGGCTTGTCCAACTGACCACCTTAGGTATTGTTGGTTTGGTGTTCTCCAACATGGAGTAGGATGGGAAATGTTGGGAAAGGAAGGGGGAAGGAAGAGAGAAAGGGAGAGAGGAGAGGGAGGGGGAAAGGGTGAGGGAGAGGCAGCGGCAGAGGCAGAGGCAGCGGCAGAGGCAGAGGCAGAGGGAACATATGGCAACTGCAATAATTGATTCAAAAATTCTTCATCACCAAAAATTCTTCAACATTTGTTTATACCATTAATTTTTAGAATATTTTTATTAAAAGATTTCTCTGTATTTTCAGATGTATGTTGACACCCTTGAACATAGTTTTTGAGAAATCAATCAGCAGCTCCCATCAGACTATATCCAGTGATGTGTCTATTGGTAGGATAGAAGTCCTAGAGTATCTGTATGAACGCTTGTCTGACACCTTGACATCGCCTGCTTTGTACTCCAGTACACAGGTATGACATCAATATCCTTGCACCCACATTTATCCACCGATGTATCGATCTATCGAATTGTTATAGCGCAATGACATAAAAAATATCAAAACGCAAGTAGTATAAGTAGCTTATTAAAAAACAGGAGTGCTTAAATGGATTATGGAGAGACAGTCATGTGATCTGTGTTGCACATTGCTTGGATTGTGCATGTGCATACATTTTGCTTTCTAGTCTAAGACGGAATGCAAAAGAATTTTTGTACGAAGTCGCTGCTATAACTGACCAACATTTAAAAATCATCACAGTAACATGACACGTCACCACTTTAAAGTATAATGCTTCAAGTCTATTGTAACATGGTGTTGTACAATGCGAAAAATCTGGCTAATTCCGTTTCCCCCCCAATATTTTCAGTTACTTAATTTCCAGCCAAAAGATGAAATGAAGAACGTATTTTTTGGCATGGCCGCTGTCCACTCCACTCCTTGTCTACGAGCCAAATATAAAAACACTCAGAGGACTTCGTCACCGGTAATACAAGTCAAAATTATTTTACTGACGATCGAAAAATTTTTAAATAATGTATCCTGTGTGCAGCCAGAGTGATTTCCCCGTTAGGACAGGCATGTTTATTTTCGGCTGCACACAGGCTAAATAGAGTGCAAATGGCCTGTTAATATGACTTAATTTTAATTTCTGATATTTTAAGGGTGGAATTCAAGCTCGTAATGCAGTTTTGCCTAAAACTGAACTGTCACTCGAGATTGGAAAATTATGTGCAGAGGTCGACATCACTATTATTGACCGCTTGGACGAGTTATTTAACCCTCGACCCATGAGCTCGAACCAGTCCTCCTCGACGCAATCCAGGATGTTCAAGTCTCTTAACCCGACATCTATTGTGAGTATGGCTTCTAGATGGTTGAATAAGTTGGATTTTGAAAATCTGATTTATTTTTTATCTTTCTTTAGAATCAACAGGCTGTATTTACACAGGCGTTGGATGAGGGGCCCACTTCTGACCAGCGGATGAGCGTTGCCCTGACATGCCCAACACTGATTGTAATGTTAAGGTATGGTTTGAGGCAGTCGGGTTATCCCTAACGGTATCCCTGTGGTATGGTGATGGCGCTGGTGATGACTCTGATGATTATGATGTTTGATGATAGTGATGGTGATAGTACTGATGATATGATGAATGTTATCATGCTAGTGCGGATGTCGATAGTGATGGTGATGACGTCGATTGTAATGACGTTATTGATGGTAATTATATTGATAATGATAGTGATAGTGATAATCAGCTGACAATGGCAATTACTCCAGGCAATGAAACAATACATGCTTTTTGTTCAAAGGTTTCCTATACCAGATCTCAGGCCAGTGGTTGAGCGTAGACCATGGTGGAAACAGGCTCTTCGCGAGGAATCCCTTCTTATCGAGTTATCGTCCCTGGAGTTCAAGACTGTCTTGTGTTCTGCAGAGCCCACAAGTTCCTATGAGTTACAGTTTCAAGACCTACATGGTGAGCTGACACATAAATTTTTTCCCATACATTTTGGGCGTGGTCGGAGGGGGGAAGGGTGAAAGGGAAGGGTGAGATTGGAACGGATTATTTACTTGCCCTGCTAACTCTAATCTAAATTACCTGTTCCAGGTTTTTTCAAGGAAAGCAAAGAAGCCCCTGCTGTGCCTTTCCTGAAAGCCAGCACCATGGCAACAGACAGTGAATCCAGTAACAGTGGATTTGATTGGCCGAGGTTAGCATAAACCACAGGAATCCCATTCCTGATTTTTTGTTTGAAATGTGCTGACTCCATTGTGTTGGGTTCTTATAAACTGACTAGAAAAACTGACTGATCTGAAAAAGTGACGTAAAATGCAAAACTGGGGTGACATGAAGCTCGGAAAAATTGACCACCAAAAAATAAAAACATGTCCGCCATTGGAATAAAAAATATGAAAATCATTAATTATTGTGCCATTAGTCTTATCGAGCGCTTATTAGTAACGTTATTAGCCAATCAGGGAGCTAGAAAATKTGCGCTAACTAAACACAACTCATGAATTTGAAAAATGTAGAAATATATAACGTCTCCCACTCAAATCCTTTAGTAGGCTAGCTATACTTTAGTTTAGTAAGTGCTGGATTTTTGTTTCTTTATCCAGAATCGTAATCACAGTTCAACCATCTGCGTCCCTGTCTATACTTGAGGAAGAGCAATCTGCCAACAACTCTCCTTTAAGTTCATTGGAGGCGTACCCCGTCATGAAGAGCGAGCCAACGCCCTTCTCATCTAAGCCTGTCATGTATGAAGCGGAGGAGGTAAAAACTCATGAACCAGGAATATGAGTATTTAAGGGGGGGGGGGGGAATTAAGGTTTAGGAAGTTATATTCTTGGACTTGGCATCACAAGAGTAGAGTTTGTCTCCCTTGATTCACAAGGGGTTTTTCTCAAGGTTCTCCGGTTTTTCTCTGCGAAACCTTTATATTAAATTCCATTTGTTTTGCCCTGCACTGAGGACTTGGGCAGCCCTCGAGGTTGTTTCAGGGTATCGATGAAATTGATTGGTTAATTGCTTTGGTAAAACTAGATGATTTACACCCCAAACGTCTACAAAGTAAAAATTTATCTACGGTAAGATTGTGACGGGTACTAAGAGTAATTATAAAGTAAGTATTGAAATGGTGTCGTTGTAGCTGATATTACCTGGCAGCCAGGAAGAGATGGCTAAATTCCAGGAAGACACAGTCTCTTCCTCCCATGTACACATCGAATGCTCTTTTCCTCGACTGGACGTTAATCTTCAGGAAAAAGAGTTCTTTGAGTTGATTTACAATAGGTAGGTAATCGTGGTTCACAACTTGATACAATGAAATAAGCTTGTGTGGCTCTCCTTTCCTCTCCTCTTCTCTCCTCTCTTCTCTCCTTTTCTCGTTTTCTTTGCTCTGCTCTGCTCTGCTCTGCTTTCCTCTCCTCTCCTACACTCCCCAACCTTCTTTGCGCCAGCTACTTATCAAATTTTGTTATTGAATGAAATGTTACAAAAAAATCCATGACAATCTGTATCATAGGATCGCTAGTGATTTGTTGCTATGGGAACCTACTGCACCATCCCCAGTAGACAGATCTGATATTCACGCGACCAACATCGGCTCAGCCGGGCTGGACCTGGCGAGTCAGCTGCTACAGAGACCCGACAAGTTCGTCATGTGTCGATCAGGGTTTCGTAGCTATGACGGTAAGTGACGTAACTGGTATCGTTATGACGTCATCACTCATGTGACCTGATGATTGACTTATGTTATTTATTGTAACAGATTCATCGTCCGATGAAGAGGACAGTAGTAATTTCACGTCAACTGAGCACAGGAACAACAGACGAGGACTTCATGAGAACAACGGTCAAACAATGTTAGCTGTGACGCTCAACGTGGGTAAAGGAAGGCTTACTTTGTTCCCTGTTACCCAGGTAAGACAGACAGACAGACATAGAAAACAGACAGACAGACAGACAGAGAAGACAGACAGACAGACATAGAAAACAGACAGACAGACAGAGAAGACAGAGAAGACAGACAGACAGACATAGAAAACAGACATAGAAAACAGACAGACAGACAAAGAAGACAGACAGACAGAGAAGAAAATCAGACGGATAGACAGACAGAGAAGAAAGTCAGACGGACAGACAGACAGAGAAGAAAGGCAGACCGACAGACAGACAGTTATGCCAACATCTACTAAAATATACACATATGCACCAACCCTAACACTCACGTGATCACTTGTCACGTGTCTCACTTGCTTCTTTAAAATCTCCCAGGAAGCAGACAATCCTGAAGAATCGAGCAGAGATTGGGAGGATGAAGAACACAAAGTCCACGGACAACTAATGGCTGATCTTGAAGATTTAACATTCTTCGTAGGAGCATGTTATAAAGGTCAGGTTGATCTGTCATACATCTGCCTGTACTCCAAGCAATTACACCTCCGACACGCCCCCGTAGTTAGCAGTGACGTATACGAAACCATGGAAACGGCCTTCTCAGGTGCCGAGTTACAGTCCACCTTGTACCCTACTGAACCTGGCCTGAAGCGTGATGCAGGGACTAGTGAGGAGCCTGTGTTGTCAGTGGCTGCGAAATTTTTCTTAGATCCAGTTAAAAATATCAAGGTAATAACTGGGAATATATCAGTCTTTCCTTTTCTTCCCGTTCATTATTTTCTTTCATCTCCTTCCTCTTTTCCTTTTCGTCATGCTTCCCATCTATCAGTTCATCTTCAGTTCGTCTAAGCTGCGCAGTCAGAAGGGCTAATTTAAAAGAAAGGGCACACAAATTCTTGGGGGGGGGGGGGGGGGGGGGGGGATGGGGTGGGTGGAAAGTTTTATATGAAGTTTTGGCATTCTTTTGAGATCATTTTGATTTTGTCATATCATTGTCATTACGAATTAAGGTTGTACCGTATCTCCTAGTTATCTTTTGGTATTTAAGTAGCTTTAATATTAAAGTTTCAACTACTGATCTGTCACAGGAAATAGTCCTAGCCTTGGGTTTGCGGGATGTTACTATCAGAYACAGGATCGTCCCCGCATCTCAGCTATGGCTCACACAGGTATGTTCTTGAGCCACCTTTCAGTACTCCTGTCTTCTGCATCTTTAGATTTTTAAAGATTTTTTTGATTTAGCCGCTAATGCGCGCGCACTAATCACGAAACGGGCACCATTGCCATGACAACCAGGCAATACATTTCCACGTGCAATTTAATTTTCAAGCTAGGAACAGAAAAGTTTTTCTTAATGAAGAAATAAGAAAATGTGCGGGCGTATATTTTGCAAGATTAAGGATAACACAATTTAGGGTAACTGATATTTTGGATACAAATGACGCAATCAAGAGTGCGCACGCGTGCTCTGCCGTACTCTCATAAATCACGCTCTCCTTACCGATCAGAACGAGACATTTATATTATTTTCAATTCATTTCAGTTGTCGCAATACCTAGACGTACAAGATTTTCCCATACTAGGGTTTGTCGCTCCTTCAGTTGTGACGGTACTACACGCGCATGTATGGCAAAGTGCTGTAGACTACAGACCTATTCATCTTCCTCTTCGTGTTCTTCTGACCATGGATTCTTTTAGTGTATCTAGCAATTTAGCTATAGAGTCTTCGGTTTCCTTACTAAGGTAAAACTGTTAGTGTCTGTCCGCTTAAATGGTAAGCACCCCTGATTTCTTATGACCATTAAAAACTTACTGTACAGATTTACTGTGCTGTGACCAATTATAAGTTATATGCGACTGCTTGACGATAAAAACGCTGTCCATATCATCAAAAATGGGTTTACACACTCAAACTTTCATTGGGGATCAGACACCAAACGCTACCCCTCCCCTCCCCCTTCGCACCTATGTTTTCTTTGAGCCGTTCGTAAATTTTGTTGCATTTATTGATCAATATGTTGATCCTATAGATTTATCATCGATGATGCTGCTCTCTATATCTCGGACAAGTGCAGTGGTCAATCACACCTTAGAAGTGAGTAGTTTTGTTGAACTATAGGATCTGTATCATTCATTGTATTAGTAAATGCTCTAGTTTCGAGTTCTCTGTTGCTCAGGGTTAGCCGCGATTTTGTGTAGAATATTCACGTGTTCCAGTCAAGGTCTGTCAAGTTTCAAAGTGTTTGTATTGTTGAAGTTGTACATTCTTTACTTTACCGTTGGTATTTGTGAATATTTAAACACTGATACGAGGCTAACCCTGAGTAAATGAGTCTGTAATCAAGGAACACAGCGGTAATTTGGAACTCGAAAAAGGTCTATTGATTGATTGATTGATTGACGACTATTGGTGTATTTTCAGATTACGTGTGTGTGATGGATTTGGGTCTGTTTGAGCTGTCCTTGCTCACAAGTGATGGCAACGATAAGGTTCGTAATTATAAGATAATTTTGTTATAATTGTGTTATAACGTATAGTTTTGTAATTTCTTAGGAAGCCTTTTTTTATTCCGAAGGATGTTTTATAAGAAACTGAAGTAATTTTGTTGTCATTTTCATTGTGTTTGCAGCGTCACCCCAAGATAGAACTGCGCATGTCCAGCAATACCCTTCATATACGAACTTGCTCTGACTCGTGCTCAGCCCTCCTGCAGCTTGTTCAGTACATCGCAGCGGATGGAGACCTGGTACCGAGTTACGAGACTGAAGAGTCGGACTCTATGAGCTCACCTCCGGTAAGTTCAATTGCTTCTGTGGGGG